CAGCACCAGAGACCTCATGAAGACTTAAACTCCAGTGTCTTTCATGCAGGGAACTGGTTACAGAGGTGGTGGAAGATCAAAGAAGCCAAGTTGGGTGGGAGGTAGAAATCTGTCTAAACCCAAGGGGTGGGATCTCCCTGTGGAGCAGGCACATCTGTCAGGATCTGGAGCCATGGAGGAGACACAACTGCTTCCAGAAACGCTGCAAGAAACAGGGAGGGAAAGCAAGAAACACCCTGACTTCTTTCTTCCCTCTCCCTCTCAACATTCCTTCATTGTCTCCTTTTGGCTGAACTCAGGCGGAGTCAGCAGCCATCGGAGGAAATGCAGCGGCAGGGGCCAGCCACTGGCACTACAGCAGTGACCACAGGAGTGGCTAGGAATGTATCTGGGCACAAACAGGCTTGAGATTGCCCAATGCAAAATCTCGAAAAATTTCTCTTTTCTCAGAAAGCTATTGGAGGATCTTCTCCACCACAAATAGGGAGTAAACCGAGATTTGTGACAACAAAAAAAGGATTCGACACCGGTGAGTGGTAAAGGGGCTCTTCGGCAGATGGAGAAGCATCAGCATGGGAGCTATAAAGCAGACCTAGAAATTAACCAGCCCAGATTGGACAACTTTAAAATAAAAGGAACTAAAAAATGTTTGACTGAATTCAGAGGTTTTGCAGCACTGGAAGAGAGCTGGGGGACAAGGTAGTATTAGGTACACGGAGAGAAAGCAAACAAACAAAAGAGGCAGTATTCGAATCAGGAAAAACCCGGGAATGTAGTTATAGTATACAAGTGATCCTGCCGCGAACAGCATTTCCATGGGCATAATAAGAAAAACACTTAACGCTATTTAGCCCCAATACTATGATACAAATACATTGAAAAAAAAGCTACCCTCATCTTTTCTATTTGTGTTTTAGGCTACATAGAAGAGCTGTATGTCTTTTCTTTCAGAGAGGGAAGTCTTTAGATATCTGTATCAATCAGGACATGAGCAGGAAGTGGAATGTTTACTCGTACTAGGAAAGTTGAGGATAATTTATTTAAATTATTATTTACAACTAAACGGGTAACATTAAATTATTATTTACAAATAAATGTAGGGCAATAACAAGGCTTTTTCAGATTACTGGAGCCAGTAATCCGCACTACCCTTGAGCTTGACGGGAGGTACGATGGAGCCGCAGCTCTTTGGAGAGGGCTATGTAGAGGCGTCCTGGCAGATGCTGGGACATTTCCTGGGGTATTCAGACTGCAGCCAACAGAACCGGAGGATACATATACCAGCCTCACCCTTCAGTCACAATCAGTCGTGTTTATGAGGTGTCAGGCACTGTTCAACGTTCTCATTGAATTCTTTCAATAACCCATAAGTGTTCTTTTTATTCCAGTTTGACAGTTGAGGAAACTAAAACACAGATTAAGTTCCTTGCCCAAGGTCATAGAACTGGGAGTGAAAAGCACCTGGGCAGTTGACACTAGTAACCCTAAATTCAGTTTAGAGAGAGTTTGGAACAGGAAAATGCTGTGCTGCTTTGTTTATCTTATGATTTTATTTATATGAAAGATCCAGAATAGAGCGATCCATCGCGACAGTGCACAGACTGGGGTGGTTGCCAAGGGCTGCAGGGGAGGGAAGAAAGGGGAGAAGCTGTTTAATGAGTAAGGGGTTTTACCCTGGAGGGATAGAAATGTTTCAGAACTAGACAGAGGTGGTGGTTACACAACACTGTGAATGTAGTGAAGGGTATTGAATTGTTCACTTTAAAATTATTGTGGAAAAAAAAAAAACAAAAAAAAAAAACAGAAAAGACTGTCTGCCTTAGCTCTCCTGAACAAATGCAGTGTTAATCCGCTGCGTACAAGTACTGAGGCATCAGCCTAAATCATTGGTTCCCAGTCAGAGGTGGTTTTGCTCCCCAGAGGACATCTGACAGTAGCTGGAGACATTTTTGATTGTCATAACAGGAGGGAGGATACTACTGAGCTTAGTAGGCAGGGTCCAGGGATGCTACTGACCTTCGCACAAAGCACAGGACGGCCTCCACCACAAAATGACCTGGGCCAACATGCCAGTGCTACTGAGTGCCAAGACTTAAAAACCCTGGGCTAGGCCATCAGGCGCTGAGGGTGAGGGGAATAAGGCCCCGAGGGATAACCCGACCAGAAGAGCTCCCCTCTGTCACCCAGGAAAGAGGCCGAGAGGGGAAAGGCAGGAGACGGACTCCCCCTTTCTTTTTCTGAATACCCTGGAAATCAGTGCGGCCTCGGAGGTCCACGGCGAAGCTCAGATCCTGCTGTGGAAGCGGCTGGGAGGGGCGGCTTTCTCCTCCCCAAGCTTGCGGAGCTGCTCTTCTGTCCTTGCTCAGACGCTCTTCTCTGCAGACTGCCCTTCCCGACAGGACAGACGCAGCCGGTGTGTGGGGCGCTCCTGCCCCGACGCTGCGAAACGGTGCAGCGCTGTCACGAGGATTCCATGCGCAGCGCCAGGGCCCCGTTCGCAACGGCGAGAGGCCTTCGAAACGGCGTCTGGCCTGACGGTGTGGAGGAATCTGCGGCCCGAAAGCACTGCCCGCTGCCCAGGACAGTCCACAGACATCGCAGCGGCCTGGGAGCCAGGACACTACCACCAGGCTCCCGCTGCTCCGTCCCACGCTCGGCCCAGCGGCCCCGGACGGCGCCCTCCCACTCCCCAGACCTGGGTCCCCCGGTCCCCTGGCCCCGTCGCCCCACATGGCCAGCGAGTTAGCCCTGACACGCCCAGTCCCTGCTTCCTTGTGTTGATTAAAAAAAAAAAAAAAAAAAAAAAGGCCTTGCCAATCCATTTGGCTTATAAAAGAATGTATTGTGCACATTTACTGTAATGATAATAATGATGTGAGAAATAATTTGGGAGAATGGGGTACAAAATCAGCTACAGTCATGAGAGTTGCACCTGGAAGAGGCTGCCTCTCTGGTGCTCAGAGCTTGAGAATTAGTCCTTAATGAGTAAATGTATATAGCGCATTTTTGAGGGATATGCTTTCCTTGTTTGAGCATGATAGAATCAGCACTAAACGGAAGCCAGTAAAATTCTCTATAACAAACTATCTCAGTAGACGTCCAATTACCCTGTGATAAATATGCGCCGTGCATCTCCCCACTGTCTGACCTGCTTGTGTCTGCGTCAGGTATCCCCAAACTGCACTGTCAGGAACATACACCCCAAGAGCCCTCTGAGAACTGGTTTAACTAGTATTTTGGCTTGTTATGGGTGCATCTGTGACCTAATTTACAAGACCTAGATTAATGAAATGTTCATCCACAATTAAAAGATCATTTTACTTCAGTAGTATGATGTTCAATTTCTACTTATAGAACTTATTTTTTATTAGTTAAAAATTATGCTAGATAACACAGAGAGAAATATCAAATGCAGAGAATTCTTAGCTTGAGATCCATTGACCTCAAGTGTTTCATGAACACCTTAGGATAGTTTTCAAAATGGTATATGTGCGTATCTAGGGGCATCTTTCTGAGAAAGGGGTTTCCTAGATTTTGGTCTGGACCTGGAGTCCAGGCCAAAACAATATTGTACAAATCTTTGCTCTACTGACTTCTTGACATTGGGAATTTGAGGGAGAGGAATTTTCCATCAGCATTTTGTGTTTTTGGAAATAAATGACTAAGCAAACATGAAGATTAATTCCCAAACCAATTCCCAAGGACTGGTACCAGTAGCTCCTGGTGCAGAACCAACTTCAGTCTGGCAGGGAACACAAGAATGTTCAGTTAATACTGAGGGCAAAAGGTCAATAGGAATCGCCTAAGCTCCCCACAGTCACTTCTGTTGCTCCCTGATGTTTACTGTTCAAAGCAGATACTTGCTCATAAAGCAAACAACCTTGACACCCTGGCCTGATCCATGGTCTTGGTCTATGGTTCAACTTTTTCTCATCTCTTCTTTTACTTCCGCTATGGTATTGCCACCCAGAAAACCAGTCCAGAGACTGTGCCCCTGTCTTGCATCTTATAGTATGTGAAAAGTTTGGGCCAATGCTGTCTTCTAAATACCATCTTCAATTCCTGCCTAAACTCAAATACCCAGCTTCTTTGAGCTTCTCAGTTTATCTAGGCTGTTAGCTTCCAGTCAGCTGCAGTTTCCCCTAACTGTCTCTGTGTGGGTGTTATTTTATTCACAGTTTTTAGCCACAATCCCATCACTACAAACTGAAATCTCCACAGGCAGGGCCAGTGCTCAATTCTGTGCCCATAGCACTAAGGACAGATGGGTATGGCACGAAAGTTTGTCCTTCCGATTTCCAAGTCAGTATCTCCCAGGCCGGCTGCAGGCTGTGCAAGCTGCGTCACGGGGTCTGATAATGTGGCTCGGCCGGGCGCGGTGGCTCAAGCCTGTAATTCCAGCACTTTGGGAGGCCGAGGCGGGTGGATCACGAGGTCAAGAGATCGAGACCATCCTGGTCAACACGGTGAAACCCCGTCTCTACTAAAAATACAAAAAATTAGCTGGGCATGGTGGCACGTGCCTGTAATCCCAGCTACTCAGGAGGCTGAGGCAATTGAACTGCCTCAACCCAGGAGGCGGAGGTTGCGGTGAGCCGAGATCGCGCCATTGCACTCCAGCCTGGGTAACGAGCGAAACTCTGTCTCCAAAAAAAAAAAAAAAAAAAAAAAAGATAATGTGGCTCATTAAGCAAAAAGACAGGAGAATTGTACCAATGCACGTTGTAAGCCGGAGTTCTGAATTCACTTTGAAGAAATAACTTCATTTGATCTCATTTTTGTTCTTATTCCCAGAAGCAATAGTTTCCATTTAATTGGGAAGATAGAAAGGAGAGTTCTCATATAGCCCCACACTCAGTTTCCCTTATTATTAAAATCTTACATTGGTATGCTACATTTGTTACAAATAATTAACACATATTTATAGATTATTATTAACTAAAATGAATATGTTATTTAGTTTTCCTTCATTTTTACTTAATTTCCTTCCTTGGTTCCAGTATTCTATTCAGAATTCCATGTTATTTTTAGTCATCATGACTCCTTAGGCCCTCTTGCTGTGGCAGTCCTGGATTTTGATGACCTTGACAGTTTTGATGAGTCTTGGTCAGGTATTTTGTGGAATGTCCTTCAACTAGGATTTGTCTGATATTTTTCTCATAATCAGATTGGAGTTAGGAGTTTGAAGGAGCAAGACCACAGTGGTAGTTTTTTTGTTTGTTTGTTTTGAGACAGAGTCTCCCTCTGACACCCAGGCTGGAGGGCAGTGGCACCATCTTGGCTGTCTGCAACCTCCACCTCCTGGGTTCAAGTGATTCTCCTGCCTCACCTCCTGAGTAACTGGGATTATGGGTATCTGCTGCCACACCTGGCTAATTTTTGTATTTTTAGTAGAGACGGGGTTTCACCATGTTGCCCAGGCTGGTCTCGAACTCCTGTCCTCAAGTGATCCGCCTGCCTCAGCCTCGCAAAGTGCTGAGATTACAGGCATGAACCACCACGCTTGGGCTAAAGTGCCATTTTTATGACATTATATCAAGGCTATATACGATCCACATGGCTTATCACTGCTGGTGTAGTGCTTTTCTGATTTATTCACTGCTTATGTCCCCACCCTTTTTCATACTGTATTCTGTAGGGAATTACTGTACAGAGACCACATGAAGGGGTGGAGTTATTTGGAATTCTTCTTCTCAGGAGATTCCCTGAAAAACTGAGATTGGTTGCACATCAGGGAAGTTGTAGGAATTGGTTTGAAGTCTTCTATTTATTGTCACTTAAATTGTTTCAGCTCTGACCATACAGGGATATTTTTACCTTTTTTTTTTTTTTCTTTTTTCCAGAGAGCACAGAACTTGGTACAAGCCCTAGCCCTTAGAAATGCTCGTCTTAAATTTGTTACATGGACCTTCAGTTTTTCAAAAGCCTGCAGAGGGCTAGATTCGTATTGAAAATGCTTAGGATCCTCATGCTTGTTCACGAGGCTCCTGGAAACCACCTTTAGTTACCCCGTTTGGCAAGAAGGTTTCATTCTGCCTTGCTCTCTGGTAGGGAGTGAATCAGAAGGCCACGGGGCTGAGAGAAGATGGATTGGATGAGATGTGCACGGATGCTCTCTTTGCCACTGTACAGCGGCCACTGCAGCTCACGCCGCAGAGCACTCGGCCCCACGGGCGGGGCCGGTTTTAACCTGGTAGGGGCAGTGCCGCCTCATGTAAGCCGGAAGGACTTTTGTCCGTTATGTGCAGATATCTGTATGCAATAAAGCCATTTTGGCAGTTGCCGCTACCTCTCCTGTGATCTTGTTGGGAAGGTTCATATCCTATCACCTGCGACTGTTGACTCTTAAAGACCCTCTGCCTCCTGCCTCAGTCTTTCTGTTTGGCAATATAAGGTCGCTTTTGTCTCCTGCAATGAACAGTCCTGGACAAGTCACGTCCCGGTCTTGGCATCAGTAAAATTTTACTGCTGAATAATTTGGGAGAGGCTCATAGTCACTCCCATTGAAAAAGAGCAACTCAAAGCTGTAGGTGAGAAGCGAATTAGAAAATCCTGCTTTGCAAACAGTGGCGCTTTCACGGTGCTTTACCCTCGGGCGTCCACGAGGCGGCGCCTTCACGGAAGGCACAGAGCATCTTCCGGTGTCCGGCGCGTCTTGCGCCCCCGCGACGCCGCAGCCGGGACTAGCACGCACGCTGCCTCCTCTCAAGTCATCCGCAGTTCGCATGTCACGAAGCGGAGCTTCCACAAGCGTTCCTAGCGTTAGGCGCAGAGAACGCGAGACACAGGCTCGGGAGGCGGCGAGCCTGGCGGATCTTACAACAGCGCCACCTGTCAGCGCAGCTGGGCTGGTGCGCTCCCCTGCGCGGGGGCAGCGGGCTGAGCGCGGCCGAACCCTGGCGGGGGGACGCCGAGGGCCCGCGAGGTACGGACCTACCGTTTCTGCCCCTAGAAACCATTTGCTCTTAGACGTTTCAGAAGAGCCCGGTGCGAGACGAAAAGGGAACGTGTGTCACGGCGGCAGATAACGCACATTGGAGTGGAAACTCAGGTTTTTAAAGGGACCGTACCCTTGACTGCAGAAATGAAGATGTATTCCATCAGGAAGGCGTGCTGGCGAGCTCTGCCGACACGAGGTTCCATGGTGTAATGGTTAGCACTCTGGACTCTGAATCCAGCGATCCGAGTTCAAATCTCGGTGGAACCTGAGGATTTTTTCTTCTTGCTTCCTATTTTTTCTTTCTAAAATTAATTTCCCCTTTAGATATGATTGGCAGGGAATCTCCAGTTCATATGAACCCAGAGTATGATGCGGGCTCTGTGTGGGCCCCGCTGACTCCATGTTCCATGTTCAGAGTAGGAGACCATTCCTCATACCTCCTTCCTTTTGCTTCCCTCCTCACCATCACCTAACAGATATTCTGATGCCCAAAATAATTTGAGTTGCGTTAAACTTTTTATTTGATTTATTGCTTTGTCAAATGCAGTGAATTCACTTCAGAGGACAAAAAGGACTCAACAGATTTGAGGGAGAAAAACGATACTTGTATATCTTTTTGCCCAGAGAGAATGAGGCTTTATAATGCCTTTTAGATGCAATCACTAGAATTTATAGGTGTTTGATTTGCCACTGAGAAACCAAGACTCTTAAAAATAAATCTGTACTTGAAATAATTGCTTAAACTCTCTTAGGTATTTGAACACTATGGGATCCTCACATGATAGCTTGAATCGCTGCCAACACAGTAAGTAAATATCCAGATACAGCTTCTAAGTGTTTCCATGGTGTTCTGTTGGTCATTTCTATGACATTAACCCACCACACAGAATTGCTGTCAGGGCTGAATATGTCCCATAGAAACACAGAGCTTTAAGATTGTATCCTAGGATGTCTCTGTGATTATTTTATCTTCATAAAACTAAATGTCTCCTGTTGCATGCTAGTTTACTTTCTGGTAAATGTTTAGATTTGTCACAACTTAAGGTAAGACAAAGAAGTTATTGGGTCTCTGGAGAAGTAGTTTGATCTTATCTATTAGTATTTATAAAATTGAATACTTTAATTGCAGATACAGAGTATCAGGCTATACATTATAATCTTTATTCATTTAATCTTATATTGCTATAATTAACCATCTCTATTGTTGCATGTAGCTACCATTCATTCATTGATTTCATGTTAGCTGCTTTGTAGTATGAATATGCCACAGCTCATTCATTCATCTTTCCACTAATGGGAGACCTAGAGTTGTTTATAATGTAAATTTGATTTTGAATTATGCTAGTTCTTGGGCCACAAAAATTAAAAATTATTTTACTGCAGAGGAGATTTCTGATTCCACAACTGTACATTTAATGGAGAATCCATAACTTTGAGCTGTCATTTTCATTTTCCAAATGCTTCCACACATAATGATTATTCACCCTTTTATAGTGTACTACCCAATCCTTCTAATTCCTCATGCATTTCCTAGTGTTAACTGCTAGCAGAATCATGTTCCCCAGCATGGAATACCTTTGCTAGGCTTTATGCCACCACTGCCTCTAAAAGTTTACATATCTAACTGCATTTAGCAGATATCTATTTGTTCACCCTTACCAGGGCGAATGTCGCAAGAAAATAGATGCTTACTTTTAATTTAGATGGACCTAATTTGCTTCTAAATATTTCTTCATAGATTTATTATACTTGCATAAAGATTTATCACGACAAAATACATAATCTTGGAAGTTTTTTACCTTTGTTTATATGCATGTTTCTTCTGAAAGAAGAAATACATCTGATTTGCAAAGCTTAGGGCACCTGCCTGCCATCCTAACTGCATATTAGCCTAGAAAATTGCTTTAGACAGTTTGGACTACTATATATAATATTTGTTGAATTAGGCAACAAACATTTATTTCTTACAATTCTGAAGGCTGGGCAATCCAAAATCAAGGTTCCATCTGATTCAGCATCTGGTGAGGACTCTATTCTTGGTTTGCAGTCTGCTGCCCTCTTGCTATATCCTCACATACTGGAGAGAGGGAGAAAATTCCTTCAGGGTGATATCTGATGCCAGCTGTGAAAATGTGGAATCTCTGGAAGACAGACACTAAGTGTTAGAAGTGCAAGAGGTTCCTGACAATAATCCCATAACAATAAACAAAGGGGAGAGGGACAGATGAATGCAGGAAGAGCTTTCAGACCAAGATGTGGGTCTAGCACGGGCAACAGGAGAGAAGAGGGAAGTAGGATTCAGTAGAAAAGGCCTGAGGTTTTGACACAGCTCCGAGACTTCAAGAAAGTCTTGTGTAGCCCAATGGGAAGCTTTGGTATGAAGATTGCCCGTGGATGCGACCCTAGTTAAGAGGAAATGGCCAATCTTTAGCATACACCCCCCCTGCTCACCAGGAAAAAAATAACTTTAGTTTGAACACTGTAGAAGATGGTGAAAGAACCATAGAGGGTGTCAGCTGACAGCATTTCTTGCAACTGAAAACAAGTTCTTCCTTGAAGGAAGAGCTGAGCAGTGCACCTCCATGTCCACAGAAATTGTACAATACACATTTAATGATATTTCAATATAGATGAAGATTATTGAAACAAATTCATTTACTTAAATAAAAATATAGAACACTACACTCAACAAAAGATGTTATTTTATTTATTAAAAGAAATTGGATTGTATATATTTGATGTTTACAACATCATGCTATGAAATACATGTAGATTGTAAAATGGCTGTTCCAGTGAAGTGAATTAGCATCTATCATCTCACATAGCTACATGTTTTTTTTTTTTTACAAGAGCAGCTAAACTTTACTCATTTAACAAAAATCCCAAATATAATACAACTGGATTCCCTAGAGTCCTCATGTTGTATAGTAGCCTTCTAGACTTGTTCATACTACATATCTGCTACTTTGTATCTTTGTGTATTTCCCTATTTCTTTCCTCCTCACCCACCCCTGGCAACCAATTTTTTATTTTCTCTGCATGTTTGACCTTTTCTTTTCTTTTTTTTTTACATCCACATATAATTGAGATATCACAATATTTTTCTTTCTATGTCCGGCTTATTTCACTGAGCATAACATCCTCCAGGGTCATCCATGTTGTGGCAAATGGCAGGAACTGCTAAGTAATACTACACACACAC